GGAGACGGGGTCGTAAAAACTCAGGTGAATTGAAGATGTGCGCGCTGTGTGAGAGGGTGGCGCGCCTGTGGGCTGGCGGCTGGAGCGCCAGGCTCTCATCGTCGTCTTCCCTTGCACCTGCACCCTCCAGCCTCCCCGTCCCCTCCCATGCGGCTAGCCTCCCCCATCCCCCCGTGGTTACCAGCACCCACTCACGTCTGGGGCGCCCCTCCGCCCGTCAGGGTTTCCCATACTTCTGGGATGGCACCCCCTCCAGGCAGTGCTGCCATTCCCTCACCTGCACAGCTCAGACAGCTGCAATCCTGTTCTCTTGGCATCACACATGCTTCCAAAGTGCAGATTGGTTGAGGTTAGTTTCCTGCCCAGAGCCATTCCAGGGGTCCCCATTTCTTTTTCTTTTTTATTTTTATTAACATATAACGTATTATTTGTTTCAGGGATACAGGTCTGTGATTCATCAGTCTTACACAATTCACAGCGCTCACCATAGCACATACCCTCCCCAACGTCCATCACCCAGCCACCCCATCCCTCCCACCCCCCACCATTCCAGCAACCCTCAGTTTGTTTCCTGAGATTAAGAATTCCTCATATCAGTGAGGTCATATGATACATGTCTTCCTCTGATTGACTTATGTCACTCAGCATAACACCCTCCAGTTCCATCCACGTCGTTGCAAATGGCAAGATCTCATTCCTTTTGATGGCTGCATAATATTCCATTGTGTATCTATACCACTCCTGCTTTATCCATTCATCTATCGATGGACATCTTGGCTCTTTCCATAGTTTGGCTGTTGTGGACATTGCTGCTATAAACATTGGGGTGCATGGGCCCCTTCGGATCACTACATTTGTATTTTGGGGGTAAATACCCAGTCGTGTAATTGCTGGATCGTGTGGTAGCTCTATTTTAAACCTTTTGAGGAACCGCCATGCTGTTTTCCAGAGTGACTGCACCAGCTTGCATTCCCACCAACAGTGTAGGAGGGTTCCAGGGGTCCCCATTTCTTGCAGAGTAAACGCCGGCACCTCTGCTGTAGCCAGGAGGCCCTGACCTTTTGCAGGTGTTCTTGTAGGCTACACAGCTCCCCGCCCTCCACCTGCTTGGTGCTTAGCCCAGAGGCTCACCTCTGATTCTGTGCTCACCGAGCTTCAGTGGCCCGCACTTGCTTAGCGTTGGGCAGAATCAGAGCTCCCTGCACTAACCCTGAGCTCTGAGGAGAGACGTAACGAGATCATTGTACGACTAGTCTGTCTGCCTCCTCTACTAACAGGTAAGCTTCTTTACCGCAGAGATTGTTCATGTCTGTATTTCAGGTGCCCTGCCCAATGTACATGCTTAAGGAAACTGTTTGAACAAAGGAGTAAACCTGGGGCAACTGTTTGTTTATGTGTCTGCCTCTTCCACACATTTTAAACTTCGTGGAGGCAGAAGCTGTGTCTTGTTCTCTTGCTGCAGTCCAAGCTCCTCAGACATAATTGATGTTGGGCAGTTTAATGAGGAGCGAAGAAGGATCTCAGGATGATTTGCCTGAAAGTTATGTGGTGTCTTTGTAGGGGACGTGGGCTCACTGGAGACTGAGATGCTGTCCTGGGTGGTTGAGGTGTTCTGGCGGTATGCGGAGGGCGTGGGGGCGCTGCAAGATGGAGGGCGCGTTTGTGGAGCACGTGCTATACTTCAGATACTACTCTTAGCGTCTCCTGCACTGTCTTCTCTGCGACTGGTGGTCTTCTGTTTGCCCCTGGCGTTACCATCTGTCTTACTGTCCTTGATTGATGGTTATATTGTCCCTTTGGCCTGTGGGAGTGCATTCAGCCCAGTGTCTGTGTCCCATTATTATAAAGCCATCATTTAGAAGTATTGTAAATGGTGCTGGGAGAATTGGACAGCCCCATGCAAAAGAATGAAACTGGACCTTTTTCTTACACCACACACAAAGATAAACTCAAAATGGATGAAAGACCTAAATGTGAGACAGGAATCCATCAAAATCCTAGAGGAGAACACAGCCAGTAACAACCTCGACCTTGGCCACAGCAATTTCTTGCTAGACACGTCTCCAAAGGCAAGAGAAACAAAGTAAAAAAAAATGAATGATTGGTACTTCATCAAGCTAAAAAGCTTTTCCACAGCAAAGGAAACAGTCAACAAAACCAAAAGACAACCGGCAGAACAGGAGAAGATATTTGCAAATGACATATCAGATAAAGGGCTAGTATCCAAAATCTATAAAGAACTTATGAAACTCAACACCCAAAGAACAAATAATCCAGTCAAGAAATGGGCAGAAGACATGAACAGACATTTCTGCAAAGAAGACATCCAAATGGCCAACAGACACATGAAAAAGTGCTCCACATCGCTCGGCATCAGGGAAATCCAAATCAAAACCTCAGGGAGACATCACCTCACACCAGTCAGAATGGCTAAAATTAAGTCAGGAAACGACAGATGTTGGCGGGGATGTGGAAAAAGGAGAACCCTCCTACACTGTTGGTGGGAATGGAAGCTGGTGCAGCCACTCTGGAAAACAGTATGGAGGTTCCTCAAAAAGTTGAAAATAGAGCTATCCTATGACCCAGCAATGGCACTACTGGGTATTTACCCCAAAGATACAAATGTAGGGATCCGAAGGGGTACGTGCACCCCGATGTTTATAGCAGCAATGGCCACAATAGCCAAACTGTGGAAAGAGCCCAGATGTCCAGTGACAGATGAATGGATAAAGAAGATGTGGTTCATATATACAATGGAATCTTATGCAGCCACCAAAAAAATGAAATCTTGCCATTTGCCCATTTGCAATGATGTGGATGGAACTAGAGGGTATCATGCTAAACAAAATAAGGTAGAGAAAGACAGTTATCATAAGATCTCACTCTTATGTGGAATTTAGAAACAAAACAGAATCATAGGGGAAGGGAAGGAAAAATAAAACAACAAAATCAGAGACAGACAAATCATAAGAGACTCTTTTTAAAAAAAAAAAAAAAGATTTTATTTATTTGACACAGAGAGCACAAGCAGGGTGAGCAGCAGGGGAGACTCAGGCTCACTGCTAAGCAAGGAGCCCGATGTGGGGCTCGATCCTAGGACGCTGGGATCTTAACCTGAGCCGAAGGCAGCTGCTTGACCAACTGAGCCCCCCAGGTGCCCCTAAGAGACTTTAACTCTAGGAAACAGACTGAGGGTTGCTGGAGGGGAGGTGGGTGGGGGATGGGGTCACTGGGTGGTGGGCATTCAGGAGGGCACGGGCTATAACAAGCACTGTGTGTTATACGCAACTGATCAGTCTACCCCTAAAACTAATAATACAGAATATTATCACTAAATTAAACTTAAATTTTAAAAAAATAAAAAATAAAAATACTGTTTTTTCTTTCTGCCACAAAAGATGTTCCAGATTCATCTTGTACTTTCTTTGCCCCTGCCCTGGGATCAGCCATGGGTTCCTTCCAGCAGAGAATGTCATTTGGAAGTCAGGAGGGACCTGGGCGTGCTCGAAGCTGTTGAGATGTGCCGTACCCAGGCCCAGGCACGGAACGGAGTAAGGAGACGGAAGTGTGACCGGAAGACGGACGGATGGACCCGTGCGTGCACAGACACACGCTGTGAAGCCTCATATTCTTTATGTATATGGAACACTGGGAGTTCAGGCACACTTGCTGCTCCGGTTTCTTCTAGTTTTCTCTCTCTAGTGAGAAACATGGGTCCTGTTGCCCTTGATGTATTGACTTATTTGACTGATGCCACACTTTCCAGTTGTACCTCTTTGTTCAGCTGTTGAGCTGCAGCCTCTGGGCCCGACCACCCTCGCCTGTCTCCTTCCTCGGTGGCCTCGTGCCATCCCCCAACCTGGGCCTGTGCCCTCTTGTGGGGCTGACGACTCTGCTCGGGCACAGGCCACGTGCACTGTGTTTAGATGGGACAGGGACACATGGAAGTCATTATTCTCCAGGTGTTTTATTTTTGTTTCGTTGCAATGAAGATTAAAACCATTGTTTATTCATTTTGTAGACCTCAGCCAAAGCTTATAGGTTGTTAAGACAGACACTTGAGGTGTTCAGTAAATGCTGATTGAATGAACAGATGAGTCACTTGTTGAGAGAGCCAATGAGAGACGTATTAAATACTTAAAGCCTCACCCTGAAAGAGCCTTTAGGTGAGTACAGAATAGTATTTGTCTTCAGTTGATTGAAGAGGAAGTGAGATCAAAGTTGCTCAGAGTCTCTTTGGGCATTGAATATAATGTCTGTCTGGTGAGCAGGGTTTGTATTGTTTGCAAGTCTGTGGTCACAGACTGCTCTGCCAGTGTAACAGGTGCTCCTGCTGGGGAACCTCCAGCTGTCCCCAGAAAGCCCTGGGTGGACACAGGTGCTGAGGCCTGACTCTTCATCCCAACTCTGGCTCCCCACACTCCACGTCTGCCACACAGCTGTGTGCAGGACCCTGGGCAAAGAGACAAGTGAAGCCATGTTCCTTCCCGTTCTCCGTCTGCTGCTTTCTAAACAAGTAGAGCTGACTTAACTGGAATTGCTCTTTGCATCTGTTATTGCTTGGGATTCGAAATAAACACTGTCCTGAAAGAGATTATAATCAAAAGAGGGAATTCGTCATGGATACATTTATTTTCTGTCTCTGTCCCTACATTTTACACACAGTACACCCTCAATAAATAGTGACTTGTTTTAAGTATGAGTTGCTGGGCTGATATTCAGGGTAGTTTTTTTGTTTTGTTTTAATATTCCAAATTAAGTGACTTCCAAGTTAATGAGCAGACTCGGGAAGCTAGGCTTAGAACTCAGATTGATGTCTTCCAGCCACAGAGCAGGATTTCTGTGGACTCTGCCGTGGGTAGTGATGCTCACTGAACATGGAGTACGTACTACTCTTCCTTTGCAGGAACGTTGATGGCCAGCTCCGTGCTGCGTAGAACCGTGTGCTTGCGGAGCGGCCTTACAGATCCTCTCCCGCTACTGCAAACACAGACACGCGCAGCAGAAGTAGAGAAAGAGAGAAATGGGACGTTAGTACGTAAAGTGCATTAACCTGTAGAAATGAGCGGCTTGTGCAGGGTACAATTTAGAGAAGGATTTATTTTGTTTTGGTTGAATATTTAGTCATTCAAGCAACCATCTTAAGTTAAAGTCAATAATGTGTTTTTTTATTATAATTACAAAAATTGTTTCATAGCCTTAAGGTACAGACATGGTCTGAAACACACAACATAGAAAACAGAATTTTCA